ACAGTGATATACGAACATTTCCCCGTACGTTTATTTCTATGCGTCTGATGAAATTTTTTAAGTTTGACAAATGTTATTTTTTTGATTCATTGGAAAAGAAAATATTTTGGAGTTAGTTTTTTTTTATTTAACCAAAAAGTAATTATTTTCTGTCATATGCTGAAAATATGTAATTCTATGAGAATTCAAAATAAATAAATAATAAAAATATCAATTTTCAAATGTAAAATTTATATAAATATTTTTATGATTGTTTTGAAAATTTAATAAAATTTTCTATATTGTTGATGTATTAGAGTGGCAGCCATGTTGAAATAATTTGAGGCTATCGACTATTCAGTTTTGTCGTGTAGATTTTGATTATACCAGTTAATAAGTTTTTTAATTATGATTAATTTATTAATTCTCTTTCAAATACTTCTAAAGTGTATTGTTCTTTCTATATTTAGTATTTATTCTTCTTCTTTTCTCTGACTCTCAATAAAATACGCTCAAAAAATTAGTTTATTTTTTTCTAAAATTTATTTAAGATTATTGATAATTATATTTATTCGTAACACCTAAAATGAAAAGAGAGAAAAATTAAATTGAAGAAGCACAATTTAAAATTTTAATATCATATTAAAAATTCCATGGCATTATCATCATGTAATACAAAATTTGACATTTTGAATACTGATTATAAAGTATTAAAATATTTCAAAGATGACGATTAAAATTTTAATTTAGTTATGTATTATTTAATATACTAACTTTTCCATTCATCACTCCTCCAAAACGAATCCCGATACTGCAAATCTTATACCCCTGTCTGTCATATAATTTATCAGGAAAAAATGTGACATATTAATGCTACATATATTGGTCATTTTGGTAATTTCATTGTAAGTATCCCACTGCTGCTTTTGCTTTCTTCTATATAATAATGCCATAGTAATGTGTAAACTATGAAGTGTATTATTGATCACAGGCTCTTTTGACAGAGAATTGAAGTTTAAACTTCAAACCCTTTTGCCTTCAGATTCTGAGTCTCTGCTGCCATGGCGCAACGAGTACTATTTGTATTGGGGATGTTGCTGCTGGTGTGCCTTGTTAAGGTACACCAACACACCAGTGTTATCTCACACTAATCAACTAGTAAAAGAATACTTCCAAAACTTATGTTATGCATGATTTAGTTCATCAGCTTTTCCACTAGAAGCTGAGGATGATTTTATTTACTTCTATTTTCTTCTAAGTTTTCATCTTTTTTGTGGTTTGTCATGCAGGTTTCATCTGACCCAAAGATAGAAGAAGAAACAGTTGAAGAAGAACTGCAGTTTCCCAATGAGCCAGTATGCTTTATATAATAAATGAGTCTATTTATTTGTTTTTAATCTTTATATCAGAATAGATATATATATATATATATATATATATATATATATATATATATATATATATATATGTATGTATGTATACTTGGATTAAAAAAATACCATTTTTATAATTTTTAATGATAAAATTATGTGAACTAAAACTCTTAACTACATTAATGTAAATTGTGACTCTTGTTTCAATTTCCTGCAGCTTATCGCGAGAGACGGGAACAGAAGGCTAATGCAAGAAATAGGTATTAATCATAGTGAATAACAAAATTGTTGGTAGTTGGGTTCTCTAGATACCCTTTAAATTGTGAAGCCAAGAGCAAATAATTACTTAGTCCTGGAACATGTACACTATTTTTGCAGTGTTTTTCATTTATTATTGTTGACATTGGAATAATAAAATGAGGGAAAAGAAAACTGAAGTTTGATGCTCTTGGCTTACTTTTCAGATTGTGGAGGGTTGTGCAAGTTTAGGTGCAGTGCTCATTCGAGGCCGAACGTGTGCACTAGGGCATGTGGCACGTGCTGTGTGAGGTGCAAATGTGTCCCACCTGGTACCTCTGGAAATAGGGAACTCTGTGGAACTTGCTACACTGGCATGACCACTCATGGCAACAAGACTAAGTGCCCTTAGACAGGAAAATCTCATTGCCCATTTGTTCTGTTCTGCATTCATTATGCACCAAAGTTCGACTGTACTACTATGTGGGTGCATTTCTGTTTACTATGGTTACCTTTGGCTATATTATTAAAATACTAGTGTTTTATTTAGAGGGTGTGTTCTAGTTTGTGTCTGTATAATTACTGTGACGTATCATATAAATTTTGGACTTTTGTTCTGATTAATATAAGAGAGTACATTACGAATTCTATTCTCACATTTGTTTGTAATTCTTCTAAATATAGTCTTTGTGCCCTGAGAGATAAAACATGTCAATCAGGGTGTTAAATTCTAAATAAAATTTCTTTAGAGTTTAAGTATAGAGACATAGTTATCAGAATCACCACCATTTTAGAGATTTATCTTAGACACTATACACTTTCGTGAGTTAAGAAGAATTTTTTTTTACATAAGTCTCAATTTCTTTAAAGGAAAATAAGAGGCTTTTAGATTTTTTTTTATATAAATATTCTGTAAAATATTTTGAAGTTTATGATAAACTATTATTATGTATATATTACATATTTTGGAACAAATTTAAAATATAAACAGAATATAGATAACCTTTTATAATAATAATAATAATAATAATTTCTGAAATCTGCTTAGGATGATAACAGAAATGGTACCAAAAAGTGGTAAAGAATGCCATGGACCACTCCTTTTTGGCGATGATAGTCTAAACTGTACGATGATCATAGATTCCTGTTTTGTTCATTTTCGTAAGTCAAATTTCAATAGCTAGCTTTGTGGTCCTTGATTTCTTGGCACAGCCTAACACAGATTGTGACATTTATTTTTGTACCGTTGCTGCTCGCTGATGGGGAAACAGATGATAATTTGTTTTCATTTATGATCATTGATCAACAATATATAAATATATTCACATGCTTTCGAGTAATGGAATAGGCAATGAAGAAAACTTTAGTAGAACTAACTCTTTACATGTTTACATGCTACTCTCTAATTTTTTTTTACAACATGAACAACTGAAGAAATTTCAGAAGTAGAGCATTTGCAGCAAAGTCCATACGCCAAACCCAATACCATAAATATAAATTCCAATGAATAAGCAATCAGACACATTTTGGTTTATACAATAGACACACTTGGTTTATGATTAGGATATATGAACATAAGATTGTCATGTCTAGTGAGAAAATAATATAAAAGCAAAACCAACTATGACTATAATTATATTAACTATAATGTTTTGTCTTTATTTTTTTCTTTGTGACAAAAATCAATGATAAAAATATTAAATTATTGTTTACTAAGTGCTTTGGGATTGGGGAGATCTAGTTTCAACAAAGTTAAAGAGTTGTTAAATCCAGATATCTTGAAGACTATATATATATATATATATATATATATATATATATATATATATATATATATATATATATATATATATATATACATGTATCACAAGGTCCTAATAAATTATACTACTAGACACTAATTGTGCTTTGTTACACTTATTATTGATATAGATGTGTACCATATTAAGTTGCATAGGTTAGAAATTTTTCTCCACAAATACTCGCAAGAGAAAAAAATAAATAAAACCAAGTTCTGTATAAGTTAAAATTAATATGAAATAATTTATAAAAAAACTAAAATATAACTTCTCAACATTCTTATTATTATATTAAATTAATATTAGTTTATAGAAAAACACTTTTGTTCTTTTATCCTCGAAGTGTTCATAGTACAGATTGGTCACATGTCTTTTATTTATAATGATTTGTCAAAAGTATACCAAACACTGATATTTGTTACACAGATTTCCTTTGTTATAGTCTTAACTTATTGGAGCTTTATGTTTTATGTGATTTCTGAACGATTTTGCAGTTAAGCAATTCAATATTCCCAACTGTTATATTTCTGTTAGTTCAGATAGAACATGAGAAGTTCAATGAGTTAAATTTGGTGAATAGTTTAAATGATGACTGAATTAATGAGGTTGCTAAAAGTTTTCACAGAAAGTAGTTTGGTTCCGATTTGCTGTAAACGGTAACTTAATCGAACTAATTCGACACAATTTAACTGTTCTTGTTTGATTTTTATCTGGCCATACCATGAACACCCTAGCTATTGAAGGCCTCGGAAAGTCTATGGCCACTTATGCCAGTCTGCTTTACTGTACCAACCAGTCTCAGGTGACGCATCTCATGGAGCCAATTTCTGGAAACCAACAAGAAAAAACTACTTGATCGCTACAGACTTCACCAAGGTCCTTAGTATATGTATCATTTGGAGGCATGGGAACTAGCACAGCTAAACAACCCAGAGAAATTGTGTGCGTTGGTACTCACAGACAAACAGACAAAGATAATAATAATAATAATAATAATAATAATAATATAAAAAAAGTGAATATTATTAAGAGGAATGTCTCTAAGTGGAGTGAAGGTACTGCAAGAAGCTGATAGTCTAAGTGGGAGGTTCAGAGAAAAATATCAGCCGAGTTATAAAGGTTTTGATGACGGGTATGGATAAATATAATTGATTCTACCAGCAGAGAGGTAAGGGAAATTCCAACAGTAAAACAGTATCTTCCACCCTCGGTAGGTAAATGAATGCACACAATATGAATTTGTATGTTTATATCTATCATACATAAATATAACACTTCTTAATATGTCACCGCTATGTCTGATGTGATAACTGATGAGTACAACAAAGCGCCTAGATGCTGGTGTTGTATAATCTTGAAGAGTCTTCTAAGACTTAATGAAGACTACAGGATAAAAACAAATATATTTTATTTACACTCCTATTTCTATGCCAGATGCAATGGAGCAAAGTTAGAAAACGCTAATCAAAAGCACATGCTGATAAATAGGTAAAATGTTGTGACACTAATCTATGTTGGCTTCTTTTTGTAAATGAGATCATATAAAACCCTGCTTACCAAATTTGGAAACAAATCACATAACGAGGCTTTTGGAGTCTGATAGTAAGGTAATTTACATCTTGCAAGCATTGCTGTCTTTGCATACTTCACCCTACAAAGACAAAACAAAATAATATTTAAGCACTATAAATCACAAACTTTATATTATCAAGCATTTTAAGGTTATACGATAAGGACAGAAAAACCTCGGGTCCAACACAAATACTTGAAAGTCATTCAACTCTTTAATATTCTCTTCCATGTATACCATATTTTAGTGTTTTGTTGTGTTGGTGTGAAGCAATACATTAGCTTCATATATACTGCTTCTGAACTAGGTTGTGCATTAAGTGCTATTTTGTTCGTTATAACGGGCAAAGGCACAATAGAAAGTCTTTAACTTTTGCAGCATAATTTTAGGTATACTTAAAATAAAAGGGATACAGACTACTAAAGGCAATGGATCATAAATTCAATCCCAATTATTCAAATGTGGATGATGGCAAAGAATCCCATTCTTTCAAAATTCGTACTATTTTCCAACTTCGGAATTTCCTTGTCATCTTCATTTTTCATGTTTTATTCCGCAGACATGTATGCTAAATGTCACATGATACATTTTGTGTTGAGCCTGTCTACCTTCTTCGTTCGAGCGTCTAATATTTCTCCTATAGGAGGCCGTCCTGGAAACCAAAAATGGACAATTAACAAATAAGTTAACAGAACCTTAGCATAACAATACTGGTTAGCCATAGAGGCATGCATGTCTTGCTTTCAGGCAGTGGAAATATTACCACAAATAGTTAGAAATGAAAAATGCAGCTAAAAGTGATAGTCTTTCCACATTGATGGATTGATTATGACATCAAAAGTTAAATTAATAGATATCATATCACAATAATTCTAAGCTTCCAAGGCTTATAACATGACCAGATTATTCCAACTAAATGAAGACTTACAAGTACATCAGCTCATTGCCAGCTAAAGTCAAAACAATATGATAGGCTAATAATCAGAATCAGAATGAGGAAGTTGGGCTAGTCATGGACAGTGGCTAGAAAACCTGGAAGGTCGAAGGAGTAAAAAGGAGCAACCCTGATATATACCAAATTAATTCAGCGGCGGTTTCTAATATGCCATACATAGGATGGAGCCTGGAGAGGGACAGTTGCAAGGAAGTGAATGGGGATATTGAGGGGCAATGGCAATGTGGTGTTTGTTGAGCAAATTGTGACTGAGAGGTGTAGCTCTTAACGCGAGGGATTGAGGTCATGTGCGTTTCTGGTTTTATTTTATCCCTTAGACTATAATTCCATTTTAGGTGTGTGGTTTAGTTCTGTGAATAATAATACAATAGTTTTTTTTGGTGTTTGATTAGAGTATATCACAATGTAAAATTATTAATGTGCATTGCTTTTACCTGTAATTTGAAGACGGTATTTTGCCCATACACCATACACAGAATCAGCAATTTTTGCCATCTGCAAATGTTATTTTCGTTATTAATAACATAATTGTCCAGTAAGGAATAAGCTGTATTATTCTCCAGTAAGGAATAGAGAAAAGATTTGTTCATGTTGGATGAACAAGATAACAAGCAAAAGTATGAAAGGAAGACTTACCGGTTCATATTTTGTAATCGCATAAACCCAACCAAGACCAACATGTTCATATAATCTCCTAAACGCCTGCAGCATGCCCGCGACAGTTCAACACATGCATATATAAATATATAAATCTTTATTGCACAAAAAAGTCAAGATAGATTTTCATGTTGGAACAAGTAACAAATTTCATTCAACAAAAAGAGATTCATATTTCACTATTATACAGCCTTTTATTGCCCCTTTGCATTTTGGGATGCCTTTTTCTTATTGATTGAAGGTAACTAATCAATCATTGGTGGTACAAAGATTTCATATTTCAGTAGCAGGGTGTTATTTATGTTCAAACTGGATATTGATGTTTAAATCATTCTAGTATTACACTAAAATGCATATCGACAATGCACACCAGGGGTCATTCAACTGTCAGCATTAATATTCTAATATCTGAATTCTCTGCAATTCCATAAAAATTTCTGAACGTAGACTCATGTGAATATTTCAACGCATTTGAATCCAGATCATGATATTAATATTGAAGTAGGAATGCAGAGAAATGGCAAGAATTCTCCAAGGTTAGATATGAAGATCAGGAAAGAGGCCATACTTCAACATCTGTAACCACAGTTCCATCTGAGAGAATAGCATGAATTCTTCCCATAGCCTAAAAAGCAGAAACAAACAGTCATTGTATTGTATCTCTACGCACCTGCAAGAGATGCATGACACCTCACATATCTTTGCACTATATAACATCTATCAATTAGCACATGTAAAAAACACATATCTTAGTATAATAAGAATCTTCAAATTTTGTCGGAAGTTGTTAATAATTTAATGGATAAAACAAAGGCGTAGTAATTGAACAGCAAAGCCCAAAAATACATAAAAATGTTAAAGCTCAGTAAGGCTTGTTGTCGTCACTCAATAAACTGCAAGTAAAGTTTACAGTCAATCATAGATCAGTTTGTTAAATTTAGTAACAACTAAATATAGTTTATGATTGATTGTCAATGTAAAACTTATCAACTAAATACAATTTGCGATCGATGTAAGTTAACAAAAACATAGGAAAACATAAGAAGTGATAATTGACAACAGAAAAAAAAAAAAAAAAAACGTAGAGCAAAGACTAACAGTTTCATAGTCAATGCTTTGATTATCATCGGGAGAGTAATCATCAGAACCTATATCAACAAACTTGATTGTGCCGTAACTCTTATTCCTCTCTCTTAGCATATTCACCTGATCATAACAACATGCAAAACACTACTTTATCAATGCGCAAAACTTAAAATAAAAATAAGAAAAAAAGAAAGAAAGAATAACAAGCATCAAACAACTCGTGTTATGATTTCAGAACAATAAAGGAGAACCTCGCGCATGCAGAGGGGACAATCTCCGTCGTAGAGCATTTTAATCTTCCAATCTTTTGACGACTCGCCTTGTTGTTTCTTAGAAATTTCAGCTTCCGCAGTCGCCTCGCTTATAGCTCGAATGTGGCGGTGAGATCGCTTGGGAAGAACGTTGGAGTGTGGATGAAAAAAAGGCGAGTTATGGAATTTGAGAGTGCAATTGAATTGTGGAAGTGAAATGAATGGTGGATTTTTGGGCATCGAAATGCGTGAAACAGCAGCAGCTGTTGCGACTCTCAGAGGGAAAGCCATTTTTGCTTCGTATTTTTGGCCTTGAAAGAAAGAAAGCAGAGGAAGGGTTGATAGATGCGCAAACACTTGGAGTGCGTGGCAATTTCGGGGTCACCCATGTTAATCACATTCACAGGTTTGAGTTCACAATTTCCTTCCTTCCAACTATTTCAAACAACGGGCCAATTAATGGCGGAAAACAATTTAAGATTTGATGGTTTAGTTGTAATTATGATTATTGAATCATGGAAAATTAGTATTAATAAAATAATGATAACTACATAATACACAAAATAATATTTAATAAATATAGTATCATTATTTATAACACTAAAAGGTAAATAAGATATTATTTTATAAATTATTAAATTTTATAAAGTACGTTAAAAGATTTTATTAGTAAGTTATTGGAAACTGTTTAATATATGAGTTAAAGTGATAAAACAAATTAAATCACATATATTTTAATACTTTGATTCCTAATTTAATAAAAGTACAATAATTATCAATTATGATTTTCTTATCCCTAAAAATAAAATACTTTCCTTTTCTAGCTAATTGTAGGAAATAGTTTTAGCAGAAAAAATAAAATAAAATATTTTTTATAAAATAATTTATATAAGTTTTTATTTTAATTTTATATTGTTATTTATGCATAAACTAATTTTAGTTTATAAAAAAATAACTTTTTCTTTTTATTTATTAAATTTTATTAAACATTTATTTATGAATTAGTTACTTTAATGTATGTATCATCTTGAAAAAGGTCACATATTACGTTATAAGAAAATATAAATGAAGGAAAAGCTGTTTATCTCATGTCCTTTTTCTAAATTACAAATTTTTATTTTAAAAACAATATTTTTAGAGTGGTAGAATCACTTGATATACATTGGTAGACAAAAGAAAGAAAATATTTAAAAAAAAAATTAGCATTGATAATTCAACATGAGAATAAATGATAGACAAAATTATACATGCGTTTACCAAAAATAATTTTCCTAATTATACAACTAAATTAATTAAGAGTTTGTTTGATTTAATTTAATTTTTAAATTTTAAAAATAGTTTTAAAAAATTATTTTTAAAATTAAGTTGGAGAAAAAAAGTTGTTTGATCATTTTATTTTTAAACCTATTCTAAACTAAAGAGAATGACATAAATCATTACAAAAAGCGATAATAAAATTTAAAAAATATTTTAATAACTTTATGATGATGATAACAAGATATTGGATATAATTATGAATGAAAATGTTGAAATCCATAGAGTATGTTGTAATTTAAAATTTTTAAAAATTAAAAAACTGAAAATGATTTTTAAAAACAGTCAACGAGCCTATTTATCTCAAAGTAGGAGAACGTGTGTAACAAATGTCCGTATAAAATGTGATAAAACTAATACAGGTAGGTAAACGTATCATCCATACAGTATTTATTTCTTCTTTCTACCTTATAAAAGTTTTTAAAAAATAAAATATATTATTTTAATTACGTCCAAGTAATTATGATCCTAAAGATATAATACCAATCTCCATTTACTGTATAATATCTATATTAAAATAATATATTTTATTATTTAAAACTCTTTTAATTAAGAAAAGTACTCATCGATCCATCCTTCCTCTTTTATTTCTTTCTTTAAATCATCATCTTCATTGAATTGAATTGAATGGGTGGGTTTAACTAGTTAATTTAAAAAATTATCTGGTAAATCTTTCTAAAAATCGATTTTAATTTAAATTAAGATGAAATCTGTGGAACCAATCATGAAAAGTGTGCAATGACTTTATTATGGTAATTTTTCCTTTTATAAAAATTTATAATAAATTGTTTAAATAAATTATGAGACAATGAGTGAATAGTAAATAATTTACTAACGTGTGTAAGTAATTGTTTATTACAATAATTTATCTTCTTCATGGATAAAAATTTATAATAAATTGTTTAAATAACTTATGGGACAAATATAATAAAATTTTAGAATATAAAATTGTTTGTTACAATCAAATTTTGTTTGAATAATTATAATCAAAATTATTTTAGGATTGAAGTTAACTATAAAGAATAATTTAAATTGTACAAGTTGCTAATATTTTTATAAAACCGTTAAGATGTTTAAGTTAATTTTTAGAGCTAAATTACATTTGATTATGATGAACTCTAATTTTACCAGGAAAAAAAAAATTAAAACACAATACATCAACCTTTTTACCTTAATAAATTAATACACAATCTCTGTTCGTCGTTGGCCAAAAATACAAGGAGGAGAAAAGCAGCATCCTCCATCCTCCATTGCATGCAAGCTAGAAAGAGGCTTTCATCAACATCATGATACATTGTATAATTACTGTTCTTAAGAATTTATTCGCGGTATATTGTGCAAGTTCCCAGGATACAACAGATTCTCGAAATATCCGAGGATCTTATAAATTAGTAAGAAACTCTCAAAAGAGTAAATTAATTCAGATAATAAAAAGATGATCAGAGAAGAGAAGATGAGAGATGTGTGTTTTGAAGAGTGTGAAGTGGTCTCTATTTATAGGAGAAAGTTTGTAGTAGTTATGAAAGAATTGGTAATGAGTCTGTAACGTTCTCTGAAACACTCTTCTGCAACATTCTCTGAAACAGTTTTCTGTAACAACACTCTTCTGCAACGTTCTCTGAAATAATTTTCTGTAACGTGTTCTCTGAAATGGTCTTTTGCAACGTTCTCTGAAACAGTGTTTTGCAACGTTCTCTAAAACGGTCTTCTGTAACGTGTGAGAACACGTTATCTGAAACGATTTTCTGCAACGTGTGAGAACACGTTCTCTGAAACTGTTTTCTGCAACGTTTGAGATCGTTATCTGAAACGGTCTTTTGCAACGTGTGAGATCGTTCTCTATTTTACAATATCCCTTAATTTACAATATTCTAACTTCCTTCTCTCACCATCAACTTGCATCTCTATTAAAACTTGATCGGTGAGGGGCTTATCTTAGCGGACCCAAAAAGGGGCTGAGAATTAAGGTGACTCACCAACCTTCATGCATTATCTTTGTTCTTACAAACCCAATAATCTCTCAAACTTCTTCATGAGTTTGTAGGTCACGATATCGATCTGATCTTCAATCTCTTTTGGTGAGGACTTGTCGAATAAAACAGTTGTTTGTAAAGATAATCCATTCTTAAAAGTACATAATCAGTGAATAGTGTAGGAATGTATTATACTATTTTGGATGAACTTTCACCTTATGGTCTTTTTGAAAGGTCAAATACATTATCTACCTTTGTTTTTTTTTTTAATCATTCAAATAGCCTCACTTAATTAAGCTTAGACGAAGATCTTCTTGTTATAGTGCACTTTAAATTTAGGTAGAATGGGCAATTTAATCTTTTAAAGTTGAAGAAAGTTTAACTTAATCTTAAAATTTAAATAATTAAAATAAAGTTTCTAAAAAACTTTTATCTTTTGCTTTCTTTTTTTCATCTCAAATACGTCTTTATATTATCATTAAAATACAATTTAGTTCTTCTATATTATCATAAATTACAATTTAATCTATGTAAGTACTAAATCGTATTTAAAGACTAAATTGTGTTTTAATAATAATATATAAGAACTTATTTAAAAAATAAATTTATTTTTAAGGATTATTTATTTATTAATATTTAATGATTAATTAGAATAATATTTACAAAAAAATAAAAAAGAAAATTACGAGTTGAGTTGAAAATAGACAAGTTCAACTTGACTCATTTTATAATAAGTTAAAGATTTTATAACTTGATTCAATCCATTGCAAGTTGTTAGGTTAGATAAGTTGACTTACTAACTTATTATAAACGCAACAAATATAGTAAATGTGATGGATGCACCAGACGCGTAAACAAGTGAATACAATCAAGACTAGAGACACAATAGAGGTGGTGAACGCAAAGAAAGTTAAAGACGCAACAGAGGAAGGTAGACAGAGGCAGGCGTTGTGAACATGGTAGTGGACGCAAAGAATATGGTGGTAGACACAAAGGACACGACATATTAGACAAATGCAGTAGACGATAAGTTGTGCAGGTATAATAACCTTGAGTGAAAGTGACTTTATTGGCTTGTAGTGACGTGAGCACGAGATAATGTAAATGAATGAAATTATATTTTTATTAAATTATTAATTAATTTTAAAATTTAAAATGGATATGGGTTGTGGGATAATTATTTTTAACTTGTGGGTTAAGTAAGATAAGTTCATTTCAACCCATATTTAAAAAAAGTAAAAAGAAAAAACCAAACCCAACCTTGAACTCGTGGTGAACCGGATTGACTCAAGGTTTAGAATCCATATTTAACACCCATAGTTGTAGGTGAGGCAAACCATATGACTTTGTTTTCTTATCTTTTTATTTCAAAAAATTTGTGGGTAACTCTTAATACAAAGGAGACCGTGCTAATGTTTTTATAAAAATTTTACTTGTTATTTTACCAATTAAAACCCTTGTGTTATGCACTTGGGGAAGTTGTGGTGTGACAGATGTAGATATCTCTTTAATGTCTATTTCAATATTTAGTTTTCCGAAGGTCGTCTAATGTTTGTATGATGTGAATGTGAGCCTTACACAGGAGCAAATATTTTACAAGTGATAAACTTCAGCAAGAATAGGTTTGGAGCTTAGTATAGATTTATATTTTGTTTACTTTTGAGGTGATAGATACGTATGTATATATTTTCCTATGTAAAAGAAATTTATATTTTGAATTACTTTGTGCATCCTAATTTTTATATATATATAGTTTTGGGGTTGTTACACTAATGGTATCTGTTACACAATCAAGAATCTGATATGATTGTAATTAGCTTAAATTGGGATACCTACTTAATATAGGAGAGATACTTGCCTAATTTCTAGAGATTTAGCTTATTTCTCTCCTAATGTTATGTAACGGTCAGTGTATTCACTTGTATATATTTTGCCTCTCAATCAATGAAATATATGCTCTCGAGGTATACTTTCATGGTATCAGAAGCATCTCTATAATCAACT